CTCATGTAACATAAATGTTGAAAAACCATTGGTTTTGTGGGATTCGGACAGCGCGCGCGGAAGGACATTTTGACAATTTTTTCTTAAAAAAACCATTGGGTTTTTGATGTTTTTATGTTAAAATCGTTACGAAACCTAAGGTTTTGGAAGGATTTCGTCTTGCGCGCACGAATGTCCACTTTACCTTATTTTTTGCAAGGGATTCTTGCAATTTGATCAAGTAAGAACAAGAATTTTCATTTTCTATTGTTTTTTTGCAAGGGAAAACGAGCGTCAACAAAAAACCGGATCCGGAGCTCATCCACTTTTCTGAAGCTTTCGCGAAAAAATGATGAAAATGTAGCTGCGGCCTAGGCGCGGCGCAGAGGTCGCGCACCAGGGGTCCCAACAATAATAATTCTTTAGAAGGAATAATGTTCAACAACAGCAATAACAACAACAACAATCAGTTTAAGACTGTTCGCCCTTACTTGCTCGAGTGTCCAATAACGCGTATTCCCCAAACCCTCGATACCCACCCTCTTCGTCTTCGATCGATCCCCTTCTGGGGGGTAGACCTTTCTTCCCTGCAGGCCGGGCCCCGGCCAGCAGCGGGGCTGCCGCGGACCGTCGGTCTGGCCAGCGGCAGCGCTGATCGGCGGGGCGGCCGCGGACCGTCGACCCGACCCCAAGAGGGACGGACAGGGGACCGACCACGACGACGACGACGACGACGACGACGACGACGACGGCGACGACGACGACGACGCGAAACGCGAGAGCGAGAGAGAACGACAGCAGGGCCACGAAGGGCACGAAGTAGGCCACGAAGGGCGACAGCGGGGACACGAAGGGAATGCGTATGGGGCCACGAAGAGCGCGAACGAGCGGGGGCCACGAAGGGCAGATAATGCGGGGCCACAGAAGGCAACGATGGGGCCACTGGGGATAGCAACTGGGCCACGTAGGACAGTGAGGGGGCCACAAACGGCGACAGCGGGGCCACAAAGGGCATGCACATGGGGCCACAACGGGCGCGAACGAGCGGGGGCCACGAAGGGCATACGTATGTTGGGCCGCTGAGGGCCAGGGCTGGGCCACTAAGGGCAGCAACAGGGCCACGAAGGGCAGCGAGGGGGCCACGAAGGGCGACAGCGGGGCCACGAAGGGCATGCATATATGGGGCCACCACGGGCGCGAACGAGCGGGGGCCACGAAGGGCATACATATATGGGGCCACGAAGGGCAACGAAGGGGCCACGAAGGGCTGCAACGGGGCCACAAAGGGCAGCGAGGGGGCCACGAAGGCTGCAACGGGGCCACGAAGGGCTGCAACGGGGCCACGAAGGGCAGCGAGGGGGCCACGAAGGGCTGCAACGGGGCCACGAAACAAAGCGAGGGGACCACGAAGGGCTGCAACGGGGCCACGAAGGGCAGCGACGAGGTCACGAAGGGCTGCAACGGGGCCACGAAACAAAGCGAGGGGACCACGAAGGGCTGCAACGGGGCCACGAAATAAGGAACCGAACTCGATTCACCGATGCTTTTTTTCCGGTCCCGCACTGAGATTCGCACAAGAAAACGGATTCTGGTGTATACGGTATCCTGGTGTATAAATGTTGTGTTGCTTCCACGAGAGAACGGGGAAACAAGTATACACCGCACCACCCCGACGTCGCCCCCGACCCTCAAAACTTCCTGGGATTGAACAACAGCCCGCCACTGGTAATGTATATGCTCCAGTTTCCGACGAAGGGCAGCGAGATCCGGATTCCGAGGTCATCTGTGAGGGAGTCCTAAGCGTGAGCGCGACTCATGTGTGCCTGGGTGTCGGGAGCGCGGCGCTTGAGTAAATTGCAGGAAATTCCAACGCAAGGGCGCTATTATTCACTATATTGCAAGCAAGTCTCCAGCGAGAGCACGACCCCAGAGCGCCGGGAGAGCGATGCCTGAATAAATTGTAAGGAAAATCCAAAGCGAGAGCGTGACTCCTGAATAAAATGCGAGGAAGTCTCGGGCGGCAGCGGGGGTCATGGCTACAGTGTAAGGAAGTCTCAGGCGGGAGCCGCTGTTGTTGTAACCTGGAGGCCAGGGGCGCAGTTTGAGCATCAAGACTTTCCCTGTCAAAAAACAGGTTGCGACCGTCGAGGGGCACACTTTGTTTGAGAAACACCATATACACCAGTGAGGGGGGATCAACAGTAATTCTTCTTCAGAAATGAGAGTTCAACAACAGCAACAACAACAACAACAACAACAACAACAACAGCAACAGCAACAGCAACAGCAACAGCAACAACAACAGCAACAGCAACAGCAATAGCAACAACAGCAACAACAGCAATAGCAACAACAACAACAACAACAACAACAATCATGGTAAGACTGTTCGCTCTTATCTGCTCGCAGGCCATTCAACACGCATATCGCAAACCCTCGAAGCCCGCCCTCTTCGTCTTCGATCGTACCACATATCTTCCTTGCCTGCAACGTGTATTTTGCGCAGCCCCTTAGGCAGGGAGGGAGGAGGATGGAGCACGAGAGAGAGTAGCAGGAGGGGGGCTAGGAGCAGAAAACACGTGGCAGAGGCAGATGGGCAGATCGGGCGGGAGGACCCTAACGGGCGGGTCGGGAAGGCGGGCCCAAGCGGCCAGGTCGAGCAGGCGGGTTGCTGAAGCGTGCGCCCTGCATGAATAGCGAGAAGAGCTCGAGCGATAGCGCGATTACCAAATAAATCGTGAGGAATCCACAGCGAGAGCATGATTCTTGAGTGTCGAGGGCGCGGCGTCTGAATCAACTGCGAGGAAGTTCCACGCGAGAACGTGATTCATATATATATGACTTGTGAAGACCTCCCGCGCGAGAGCGCGATTTGGAAATTAACTATGATGAAGTATCAGGCGGGAGCCGTTGTTGTTCTCAACTGGGGGCCAAAAACCCAGTTTGATGACAACTCACTTTCCCTTGTAAAGGAACCGGGTGCGAGCCCCGGGAGAAACACGTTAATTGAAAAACGCAACGATTACCAAGCAGGGGGGAACAACAACAATTACCCATCCACTGGTCGGAAGAAGTAGGTAGAAGCAACGTTGAAAATAGATTGGGTGTACATCCGCCCCTGAATGAGGACGGAAAAGGTGAAGCCACTCGATCAATGAAGTAGGAAGGCGCTTTAAGCAGATTGAAATCTGGGATTCCAAGAGCACCTACGTTCAACGAACGATGGGTATTCTTGAGACATGAGCACTCAATCACAACAACAACAACAACAACCACAACAACAACAACAACAACAACAACAACAGCAGCAGCAGCAGCAGCAGCAACACCAGCAGCAGCAACAAACAACGACGACGACGACAACAACAACAACCACAACAACAACAACAACCACCACAACCACAACCACAACCACAACCACAACAGTAACAACAACAACAACAACAACAACAACAACAACAACAACAACAACAACAACAATTACTAGCACGTGGGGACACTCCGTTCTCACCAGTGCCAAACGACAAAGACACCCAAAAAAGAAAAACAAAAGGGTTTTTCATACGACGCCCGCCAATACCGCCACCTTTGTGGGGGGGGCGTTCAGCTCTACACATTTCCAACGACTCTTCGCCACCACCACACCCAAACCAAACAGGAAAAACAAAAAAACCAAAAAGAATCCCACAGAGAAAAACCCAATACAAGACAAATACGCCCAACAAAAAGAAACCCACAACACCCAATGAATACAGACCACTCCCGAAGGCCAGCTTCTTCCCGCCCTATGACGTTCGGACACTTCACTTCGTGGCCTGCGGACGACCGTGGCTACTACACTGGCGCATGGGTACGGTGACTTGTTGTGGTAACATTTTCTGGACGCTAGCTTAGTATACGACTTTTCCCCCTGTTCCAACACTGGACACCTGTTGGAGAAGTTCGAAGCACGTGAAAAAGTTGTTCGCAAAAGCCCGTTTGACAGAAATGTTTAAAAAGTGTTGGGTTTCCTACAAATCCGCAAGAGCGCGCGGGATGAAAGTTTGACATTGTTTTTGAAAAACCATTGGTTTTTTATGTTTTTATGTTAAAATCGCTACGAACACTAAGGTTTTGGAAGGATTTCGTCTTGCGCGCGCGAATGTCCACTTTACCTTATTTTTTGCAAGGGATTATTGAAGTTTGGTTATGTTAGAACAAGAAATGTCCACTTTGCCTTATTTTTTGCGAGGGAAAACCGCCCGTAACAAAACAACCGGATCTGGATCACATCGTTTTGTCAAAGGCTTTCGCTCGAAAATGATGAAAACATGGCTGCGGCCTAGGCGCGGCGAGGGGGCCGTGCACCAGGGGTCCCAACAATAATTATTCTTTAGAAGTAATAATGTTCAACAACAACAACAACAACAACAACAACAACAACAACAACAACAACAACAACGATGACAACAACAACAACAACAACAACAACAACAACAACAACAACAACGACAACAACAACCAAAACCACAACCACAACCACAACCACGTGGGTCGTGTCTCTTCTCGCCGTGAGGGGTCCTGGCCCTCGAGCCACAGCTCGGGCCTCTGGCGGCCGATCGGCAAGCTGCGGCCCCCCCCCCCCCCCGAGCGCTCTCTCGGCGAGGCGCGGCTGCCGGCGAGCACCCCGAGGCCAGAAAGCCGCCGAGGACCGACGAGAATCTCCGAACACCTCGAACCTCGCCTCGCCGTCGCTCGGGCGTCCATTCCCCGTGCTTTTTGTCGGTGTCGCGCGTGGCCTCTTCGCCAAGTGATCGAGCATGCTCCTCGATGGCCCCCACCGAGGAAAACATGCACACGTCCGAGCGACGCCAAGTCGCACGACGATGTCTGGTCTCACGATGCGGGGGTCCAAAATTGCTTTAAAACAGGGCTAGGATCGGGATAAATCGCTCCAGAGCGTTCCGGAGCGCTCTCAGAGCGTTCCGGCACGCTCTGGAGCGGCCGCGGCGCCCAATACATCCTCCAAACCCGCCGATTCTCAGAGATTTCGAGTTATCCCGATCCGATTTTGTCCCGAGCTTCGCGTCGTTTTATGCTTGACGGCAGGGCTCCTGCACGTCCGGGCACCCGCTCCGCGCGTGCGAGCAGCACCAGGCCTTCCTGCTCACCGCCCAGTGCCTCGCGGGGTCCGCCGCGCTGTCCTCGCAGTCCCACGGCGCGGGCCGCACGGTCGTAGACGCGGTCGTGGCGGTGGTGGTCGCGCTGGACGTGGTCGCTGATCAGAAGAAGAGAAGAGCAGCCCAGGCGTGTACTTTAGTAGTGGAAACAATTGGCTTTCAAAATGTTTGGTCTTTAGAAACTCTGCGTGGCGACGCCCCCGTCGCCACGCGTGCCCTCTGGGTGCCTGCGAGGGCGCCGCCACGTAGAAGTACTGGAGACCGAGCATTCGGGGCGTCGCTACGCACGCCCTCTGCGTGGCTGCGACCATTTGTTAAAAGGCAGAAGCATGGAGTGGGAAGGCGCTGACGGTAGGTTGTGCCCCGTCTGCCCGCGGAGGAGGGCAGAAGAGGTGAGGCCGCTCGATCTTTGGAGTAGGAAGGCGCTCAAAGTACAGGGCAGTTTTTCATGCATAGGATTTGTCTAAAAAATATCGGATGTTTAGTACATGATTAATGTATGAATAAACTTATGCATGAACTCATCAATGGTTTTTAATACTAAACCCTGCATGTGTAATACATGATCCGCGCGCGGAGCATGTACTGTAGCTGGGAATCTGGGAGTCCCAAAACAAAAATCCAGCTTCCAGCGACCGATGGGTAAAAACCTCTCGGACCTGCGTGCGGAGCTCGTGTGAGGATCGGAGCTGGGCCCCCCCGCCCCCCGGCGGCGCCCGCCGCGCCGACCCCTGGCGCGCGCATCTCGCGCCGGCCAGGGCGGCGAGGGGAGCCCCGGCGCCGGTCCGGTCTCCGAGCACTCCTGAAGGGGCCCCAGGACACACAAATAAAAAAACACAAATAAAAGGATTCCCCATATTTTCAAATATTTTCTGGGTCTTTGTCTTCCCCCCCACTTCCCATATTTTCCCGTATTTTCCGGGGAATCGACGATTAATTGTGTCTGTGTGTTTTTTCCCCTCCTGAACTCCGCGCGGCCCTCCGAGCAGTTCTCAGTGGGCTGCCCTTCCCTCCTTCGAGCTGTGGCGGAGGGGGTGGAGGGCTCGTCGACCTCGGTCGTGGCAGCCGCAGAGGACTCATCCCGCCCGCCCTCGGTCGTCGTGGTCTCCGCGTCCTCCTCCGCGGCGCCAGAGCCGCCGGAGACGCTGGAGCCGTTGGCGCGGGCGCCGTCGGAGCCTGAGGCGTTGGCCGCGTCGGCGTCGGCGCCGGAGCTGCTGGGCTCAGGGTCCAGTTCGGTCGTGGTGTCCTCGCTGGAGCAGCCCACCGCCTCGAAGTCGCAGCACCAGCGCTTCTTGTCGGGCGCCCAGCGTGTCCGCCTGTGGACGTAGTCCTCGTCGCAGTTGTACGGCGCCTGGGAGGTGGTGGACGTCGCGGTGGAGCTGGTAGAGCTTCGACTATGGGCGGCGGAGCTGGTGGAGGCGGTGGACTGGTGGGGTCGTTGGTGGCCGTCACGGTGCGCATGCCCCGCACCTCTCTTCGCGCCGTCCCCGTCTGGGCAGGCTCGCTTCTCCTGCTCGCAGCACCATGTCTTTTTCTCGTCCGACCAGCCACGCTTCCAGTTGTAGTATCCCGAGCTGCAGTCGAAGCCGTCGTCCGTGGTGGATGTCGTGAGGGTTGTCGTAGTGACAGTGGTGACACACCCCTTGTTGTGATGTGAGCAGCACCATTTCTTCTTGTCGTCGGACCAGCCTCTTTCCCACTTCTTGAGTCCCTCGTTGCAGTCGAAGCCCACCAGGCCAGGCTGCACGGCTGCCTCGTCGCTCTGGGCTTTGCCGCCCTTGGCCCCTCCGCCCTTGGAGCTGTCGTTGGACGCCTTGTCGGCCTTGACATCGCCGCCCTTGGCCCCTCCGCCCTTGGAGCTGCCGTTGGCCACCTTGGCATCGCCACCCTTGGCCCCTCCGCCCTTGGACGTGTCGCTGGACGGCTTGCCGTCCTGGGCCTCGCCGCCCTTGGCTGCCCCGCCCTTGGACCTGTCAGTGGACGCATTGGCCTCGCCGCCCTTGGCCGCTCCGCTCTTGACCTTCTCGGCGGACGCCTTGTCGTGCGGAGCCTCGCCGCCCTTGGCCCCTCCACCCTTGGAACTGTCGTTGACCGCCCTGGCCTCGTCGCCCTTGGCCCCTCCGCCCTTGGAGCTGTCGTCGGACGCTTTCTCGTGCTGGGCCTTGCCGCCCTTGGATCTGTTGCCATGAGCCCCGCCGCCTGTGGCCGCCGAGGCGTTGTCGGTGCAGCCCGCAAGCTCTGCCGAGCAACCGCTGCAGTCCTGGCATTCCTTCAGCAACACGCCGTATGCCGCCTGCGTCCTCCTCCTCCTCCTCCTGATCCTCCTCCTCCTCCTCCTCCTCCTCCTCCTCCTCCTCTTCCTTCTCCTTCTCTTTGTTCCTCCTCCACCCCTACTCCTCATACATAACTCCTCCCTGTCGCATACGGAGGCCAGTCGGAAGGACGGGCCGGGCGTTTCTTTCGCCTGGAACTTCCTTACCATGTATGTTTAAGCTTTAGCGCCGCGCACACTCGTCTTAATTAGCCTGGCGAAGGACCCAACCACATGTAGTTGTGAGTACCGCAAATATGGGTATCGTATTCGGTGGAGCTCCCTATGGGGCCACGAAGCGCTGCTGTGGGTGGGGGGGACAGATGAGAAGTTTGCCACTGGGGCCTTCGGTGGAGCTCTCTATGGGCCACGGAACGCTGCACTGGGTGGGGGACACGCATGCGGACTTTGCCACTGGGGCCTTCGGTGGAGCTCCCTATGGGCCACGAAACGTTGTGCTGGGTGGTGCGCGACGCATGCGGACTTTGCCACTGGGACCTTCGGTGGAGCTCCCCATGGGCCACGAAACGTTGTGCTGGGTGGGGGAGGCGCATGCGGACTTTGCCACTAGGGCCTTCGGTGGAGCTCCTTATGGGCCACGAAACGTTGTGCTGGGTGGGGGAGGCGCATGCGGACTCCTTATGGGCCACGAAACGTTGTGCTGGGTGGGGGGAACGCATGCGGACTTTGCCACTGGGGCCTTCGGTGGAGCTTTATATGAACCGCGAAACGTTGTAAACGCATGTGGATTTTGCCACTGGGGCCTTCGGTGGAGCTCTCTCTGGGGCCACGAATCGGTGGGGCTCCCTATGGGGCCACGAAACGCTGCATTGGGTGTGCGGGACGCATGCGGGCGGTACCACTGGGACCTTCGGTGGGGCTCCCTATGGGGCCACGAAACGCTGTACTGGGTGGTGCGTGACGCATGCGGGCGGTCCCATCGGGGCCTTCGGTGGAGCTCCCTTAGGGGCCACGAAACGCTGTTATGGGTGGTGCGTGACGCATGCGGGCGGTCCCACTGGGACCTTCGGTGGAGCTCCCTATGGGGTCACGAAACGCTGTACTGGGTGGTGCGTGACGCATGCGGGCGGTCCGATTGGGGCCTTCGGTGGAGCTCTCTATGGGGCCACGAAACGTGTGAGGGTGTGCTGAAACGGGTGAGGATCATGAAACGCAGGGAGGAGGGAGGAGGGGGAGGAGGAGAGGAGCGAGGACGCGGGCGCTGTCTCTTCAAAACGAGGACCCAACACCACAGGATGGTTGGGAAAAACTTTCAAGAGTCTTGCGGATGGAGGGCGGGCAGTTTTCAAAATGTGGCTCTCACCTTCCGCCGCTCACACTCGTCTCTCCGGGTCACAAGAGTTCACAGATTAGGGCGGGCGGTGTTCAACATGTGGCTCTCGTCTCAGCGCCGCGCACATTCGTCTTTCAAACTTGCGAGAGCTTCACGGATTGGGGGTGGCCGTTTTCAAAATGTGGTTCTCGCCTCAGCGCCGCGCACAGTCGTCTGAAACATTCAGAAGAATTCCACGGACTCCAATGGCCAACGTACCAGAAATTGTGTTTTGAAGCGGCTCAGGACTGTCAGGGCGCACAAGTTACGTGGATTCGCTGTGCTGAAGTCACACGGATAGCACTCTGGCTCGATGCAGGATCGCCACGACACAAAAATTTAGTCAATTCGCTGCGTTAGGGGTCTCGAAAAAGGTGTTTACGCATGTTCGAGGATCATCCAAGCGGTTGTCAATGGAAATGAATCCTTGCAGGTGCCTGTGAAGAGGGAGCTCCAAGGGAGAGTCTCTTCCAACATCGTTGATGAGTCTTGGGTTTACACTGGTCCTCCTCCTCCTCCTCCTCCTCCTCCTCCTCCTCCTCCGCCCCTCCCCCTCCCCCTCCTCCCCCTCCCCCTCCCCCTCCCCCTCCCCCCTCCTCCTCCTCCTCCTCTCCTCCCCCTCCTCCTACTCCTCCCGCCGCCTCCTCCTCCTCCTCCTCCTCCTCCTCTCCTCCTCCTCCTCCTCCTCCTCCTCCTCCTCCTCCTCCTCCTCCCCCTCCCCCTCCTCCTCCCGCCGCCGTGTCCCTGCCCACTCCACCCCCCTCCATCCGCCCCTCCTCCCTCCACGAGCCTGGCACGAGCTCGGGTCGCCTGTGAACAGGAACCTGGCCACCCAGTGCAGGCGATCCCCGCAGCTCGAGGACGCGCCCTTGAAGGTGCAGTTGACGCTGCACTCGGGAGCGACGTCCTGCGCGCGGCGCACGGCCAGGGGCGTGGCGAGAGGGGGGGTCCTCCGCTCCCAGGGAAAAATACGTAGCACCCCGCAGCTGCGGGTAAGATTGAGGGGGCGGCCAGGACGTCGGCAGCCTGCGAGGCTCTGACGAAACCCGCCGCAGGCGCCTAGCGTTTACGGAGAGTGTAGTGGGCCCGCCGCTGGCGCCGATTTTTTCGCTAAAGCAATGTGGATGAGTCGCCGGGTGGGTCGCAGACAAGCCGCGGGTGGGTCACGGGTCGGTCGCGGGTGAGTTACGGGCGGGACGCAGGGTGAGTGGCGGTTGGGTCGTGGGTGGGTCGCGGGTTGGGTCGCGGGTGGGTCGCGGGTGGGTCGCGGGTAGGTCGCGGGTGGGTCGCGGGCCGGGTCGCGGGGGGGGGGGACGACGACAACAAACAACAAAAACGAATAAGAACAACAGCAACAACAACAGCAACAGCAACAGCAACAGCAACAGCAACAGCAACAGCAACAACAACAACAACAACAACAACAACAACAACAACAACAACTTTAAGACTGTTCGCTCTTATATGTTCGAATGTCATCCAACGTGTATTTCCCAAACCCTCGATACCCGTTCTCTTCGTCTTCGATCGTGCCCCTCTTGGGAGGTATAACTATACGACCACCCTTCGGGTGATAAGGAGGTTGTGGGTGGGGAGAGAGGGGGGAACCAACATCTGACTCAATCGATCTCACTATCGATCTCACTCAACGGGACACCACGGGACACCACGGGACACCACGGGACACTTGTCGATCTCACAATCGATATCACTATCGATCTCACTCAACGGGACACCACGGGACACCACGGGACACCACGGAACACCACGGGACACCGCGGGACACCTCTCGATCTCACGATCGGTCTCACGATCGATCTCGGTATCGATCTCACTCAACAGGACACCATAAGACACCACGGGAGACCACGGGACACCTCGGGACACCACATCGATCTCACCATCGATCTCAGTATCGATCTCACTCAACGGGACACCACGGGACACCAGAGGACACCTGTCGATCTCACTATATAGATCTCGCTCTCACTTCTTGCGACACCACGGGACACCACGGGACACCTCGGGACACCACATCGATCTCACGATCGATCTCACTATCGATCTCACTATCGATCTCACTGTCGATCTCACTCAACGGGACACCACGGGACACCACGGGACACCTGTCGATCTCACGATCGATCTCACTATCGATCTCGCTTTTTGGGACACCACGGGACACCGCGGGACACCACGGGGCACCACATTGATCCCAGTATCGATCTCACTATCGATCTCAGTATCGATATCACTATCGATCTCACTCAACGGGACACCACGGGACACCACGGGACACCGCGGGACACCGCTAGGGCCACCGGCGGACGGACGGATGGACGGACGGGGGAACAACATTTGTCTTCACTTCGTCCTAACAACGGCGGACACCACGGGACACCACGGGACACCACGGGACACCGCGGGGCACCGCTACGGCCACCGCCGGACGGACGGACGGACGGACGGAGGAGCAACATTTGTCTTGACTTCGCCCTAGCAACGGCGGGTTCATTCCTCTCGCGCGCCCACGCAGCTTCGCCTCGCCCGCACGCACGACACGAACGAAACGAAACGATTTCCTGGTTGGGGGTTTCCGTTCCACTGCGATCTCACCCCCCAACCTCCGATCTTTCTTCCCTGAAGGCAAGGCGGGCCCTGACAAGCTGCGGGGCGGCCGCGGACCGTCGGCCTGGCCAGCGGCAGCGCCAGTCGGCGGCAACCCGACTCCAAGAGGGACGGACAGGGGACCGACCACGACGATGACGACGACGACGACGACGACGACGACGACGACGACCACGACGACGGCGATGACAACGACGACGACGACGAGCGAGAGCGAAAGCGAGAGCGAGAGCGAGAGCGAGAGCGAGAGCGGGGCCACGAAGGGCAAGGAGGGGACACGAAGGGCAACAGCGGGGCCACGAAGGGCATGCGTATGGGGCCACGAAAGGCGCGAACGAGCGGGGGCCACGAAGGGCAGATAATGCGGGGCCACAGAGGGCAACGACGGGGCCACTGAGGGTAGCAACGGAGCCACGTGGGACATCGAAGGGGCCACGAAGGGCGACAGCAGGGCCACGAAGGGTATGCATATGGGGCCTCCACGGGCACGAAAGAGCGGGGGCCACGAAGGGCACACGTATGTTGGGCCAGAGAGGGCCAGGAAGGGGCCACTGAGGGCAGGGACGGGGCCACGAAGGGGTAAAACGGGGCCACGAAGGGCGACAGCGGGGCCACGAAACGCATGCATATGGGGGCCACGACGGACCCGAACGAGCGGCGGCCACAAAAGGGCCACGAAGGTCAGCGAGGGGGCCACGAAGGGCGGCAATGGGGCCACAAAGAGCAGCGACGGGGCCACGAAACAAAGCGAGGGGGCCACGAAGGGCAGCGACGGGGCCACGAAGGGCTGCAACGGGGCCACAAAGGGCAGCGAGGGGGCCACGAAGGGCTGCAACGGGGCCCAGAAGGGCAGCGAGGGGGCCACGAAAGGCTGACACGGGACCACGAAGGGCAACAACGGGGCCACGAAGGGCAACAACGGGGCCACGAAGGGCAGCGAGGGGGCCACGAAGGGCAACAACGGGGCCACAAAGAGCAGCGACGGGGCCACGAAACAAAGCGAGGGGGCCACGAAGGGCAGCGACGGGGCCACGAAGGGCTGCAACGGGGCAACAAAGGGCAGCGAGGGGGCCACGAAGGGCTGCAACGGGGCAACAAAGGGCAGCGAGGGGGCCACGAAGGGCTGCAACGGGGCCACGAAGGGCAGCAACGGGGCCACGAAGGGCTGCAACGGGTCCACGGAGGACCGCGAAGGGACCGCGAAGGCCTGCAACGGGGCCGCGAAGGGCAGCGTGATCCCGATTCCGAATAAGCTGTGGAGGAGTCTTAAGCGTGAGCGCGACTCCTGGGTGCCTGAGTGTCGGGAGCGCGGCGCTGGACTAAATTGCGAGGAATTCCAACGCAAGAGCGCGTTTCTTGAGTAAATTGCAAGCAAGTCTCCAGCGACAGCGCGACTCTAGACGCCGAGAGAGCGATTCCCGAATCAACTGCAAGGAAGTCTCAAGCGAGAGCGCGATTCCAGAGTAAAATGCGAGGAAGTCTCCAGCGGGAGCGGGGGTCCTGGCAAAAAATTGTACGGAAGTCTCAGGCGGGAGCCGTTGTTGCTGTAATCCAGGGGCCAACAACGCATTTTGATCCTAGTGAAATACAAGTTTGTGTCTTATATACATGTGTGTGTTGTTCTATCCTCCAAAAAAAAACGTGCGAGCCCCAGCGGCAGCACTTCAGTTAAATATGTCACCGGAGGGGGGATCAACAATGACAACAACAACAACAACAACAACAACAACAACAACAACAACAACAACAATCACTTTACCCGAACGCTCAGTGTTCTCACCAGTGCCAGGGTTTTCATGCGACGCCAGCCAATACCCCCACTTTGTGGGGGGGCAGTGCAAGCTCTACCAAATATCCACACGACTCTTCGCCACCACCCACACCCAGCTTCCCGCCCTATGACGTTCGGACACTTCACTTCGTGGCCTGCGGACGACCGTGGCTACTACACTGGCGTGGAGTACACACCCACAGAAGTTGTTAAGCCTACGTTCGTACACCCACAGAAGTTGTTAAGCCTTGTTAACCCACAGAAGTTGTTAAGCGGTGCTAAAATTCTTAAAAACCCAATGGTTTTTGGAGATTTCGGCGTGCGCGCGCGAAGAAAAAACGAATGTGTCCCGCATGGTATTATTTGACAGGGATGATGGCCCTGGCAGGTGCGCAACCGTTGTCGCAGAAGTTCGAAAAAGTTGCTCGCAAAAGCCCGTTTGACAGAAATGTTTAAAAAGTGTTGGGTTTCCTACGAATCCGCAAGAGCGCGCGGGATGAGATTTTGACATTTGTTTTGTTGAAAAACCATTGGTTTTTTGATGTTTTTATGTTAAAATCGCTCCGAACACTAAGCTTTTGGAAGGATTTCGTCTTGCGCGCGCGAATGTCCACTTTACCTTATTTTTTGCAAGGGATTCTTGAAATTTGATTATATTAGAACAAGAAATGTCATTTTATAGTGTTTTTTGCAAGGGAAAGCGGGGGGGAACAAAACAACCGGATCTTGATCACATCGAATTACCTGAGGCTTCCTCACGAAAATGATGAAAATGTAGCTGCGGCCTAGGCGGCGCAGGGGGGCCGTGCACCAGGGGCCCCAACAATAATTATTCTTTAGAATTAATAATGTTCAACAACAGAACACAACAACAATCAGTTTAAGACTGTTCGCTCCGATCTGGTCACGTGCTAATCAATATCAATACTTATATCCCAAACCCTCGGTACCCGCCATCGTCGTCCTCGATCGTACCCCTCTGGGGGTATTTCCTCCCTACCTGCCACGAGCATTTACTGCAGCCCCCAAAACAATGGAAGAGAGGACGGGCGGAAGGGGGAGGGACAAGGATGGAGCACGAGAGAAATTAGGAGGGGGGCAAGGAGCAGAAACGACTGGTAGAACCAGACCAGAAGATCGGGTGGGCAGACTCGTAGCGGGCAGGTCGGGAAGGCGGGCCCAGGCGACCAGGTCGAGCAGGCGGGTTGCTGAAGCGTGTGTCCTGCATGAGTCGCGAGGAAGTCTCGAGCGATAGGGCGATTCTCGAGTAAATCGTGAGAGAAGCCGAAGCGGGAGCGTGATTCCTGAGCGCCGAGGGCGCATCGTCTGAATAAATTGCGAGAAAGTCCTACGCGAGAGCGCGATGCGTACATGAACTGTGCGGAAGTCCCGCGCGAGAACGCGATTTGGGAAAAAATGTAAGGAAATATCAAGCGGGAGCCAATGTTGTTGCAAACCGGGGGCCAAGGGCCCAGTTTGAGCCTAGTGATTTTCCCGTTCAATGATTC